TTTGTGGGCTAGTATGTGATCTATTTTGGAAAAAGTACCATGTGCTGCTGAAAAAAATGTATACTCTATTGTAGAGGCATGGAATACTCTCTCTATATATCCATTAAGTCCATATGTTCAAGGGTATGGTTCAGCTCTAAAATTTCTTTATTGGTTTTTTGTTTAGTTGGTCTTTTTTATGTGAAAGTGGGGTGTTAAGATCTCCTGCTACAATTGTGTTAGTGTTTATTTGATTTTTTAATTTCAGCAGTTTTTGTTTTATGAAAATAGGTGCTCCAGTACTTGGTACGTGCTCTATATGTTTATCAATGTTATCTCTTTTTGTTGAATTGTTCCCTTAATTAGTATGTAGTGGCCTTTTTTGTCTCTTCTAATCAGTTGTTTATTGGTTTGGGGTTTTTTTGGTTTTTTGAGACAGAGCCTCACTATGTAGCCCAGGCTGGCTTTGTACTCACGGTGATCCTCTTGTCTCAACCTCCTGTGTGCTGAGGTTATAGGCAAGCACCAGCCTCTTCTAATCAGTTTTAATTTGATATTTACCATGTCTGATATTAGAATTGCTGAAACAAATGATTTTGAAACAAGGTTTGTATAAAGAAAGTTGCTACACGATCCACCTATCACCCTACTGAATATTCTTATTATTTTATGTCATAAAATGAAGTTAAGAGCTAGTCCCATCTCAGTATTCAGTTCAGCTGATGGCCCTTCATACCTTTCCTTGCCCATCTTATCCTGCCAATAGAAATCCCACTTCTAGAATGGATTTGTTTTTTCCTTAATACTGTGATTCAAGAGCTAATGTTATAGTTTCAGAAAGTTATCCACGATTTATGGATTGTAGTCATGGAATCCTATAATTGAGCCTTTCCTTAAAGAAAGAAAATGAAAACCAGTTCTTTTCCATGACATTTATTTTGTACCTTGTCTTTACCTTGTCTTTATTCAGAGACAAGGTCTTGCTATACATTGCCCAGGCTGGCCCCAAACTCCTGAACTTAAGCAATCCTCCGGCTGTGGCCTCCCTGAATACCTGCAACTGTGGGCACATACCAGCAGTTTCATGTCACTACATAAGGACAACTTCCTCATGCCCATTTTTTCCCTAGTGAATGTAGTGACCTTATATTAACAAAGATAAGTTGTAAAGTAAGATCCCCTGCCTGGGATCTGAGCCTTGGCTGCATCTACCGTGACTTACCTTCCTACTCTTCTCTCCAGTTCCTCCACTCATCCTCAACTCTGGCTCAGGCAGTTGACCAAGCACCCTCCAAACATGGGTCAACCCTTCCCTCCATCAAGTATTTGCTCATGTTGTTCCTTCCCCCTCCTCTTAGCCAGAATAAATATTTCTTTGGTAACATCTTGCACTCCTCTGGAGACCCAACAGATTTCCTGTCTCTTGCCTCTAGGAAGTAACGAGAACCAGATGCCACAGCACAGCCTGTAGTGACACAGCGTCACCATGGCACTGAGAGCAAATGCTAAGGACAGGGCTAACTTTGCTGTCTCCCCTTGTGGAACTGAAGATCTGTCCAGGAGGGCCTGGAAAGACTTAAAAGGATTTCAGCCAGCAGTTATTGAAAGATTTATTTGCTTCTGCATTACAGAAACAATTCTAATGCAAACATTCTACAGGGTGTCTTTCTCATTGTTCCCAAGAATCCATCTCTACCTGCTGCTATAGGCTTCACTCTCTCCAGTCTGTCTTCTGTGGCCCCTGATAGGATTCCAGAACCTCAGCGGTTCTTGTACTGTAAGAAGATAGTGGGTAATCCCTCCCGGTCACTGGTATCTTCATCCACACACCTGAAGACATTACATTTCAGCAAGCAAGGGTTTATGTTGGAATCTCCCTGCTTCCACATCACCGTGGGCATCCACAGTCTTCTCACACAGAGAGGAAGGAAGTCAGATGGAGAAAGCGGAGAGAGGTGAACAGAACGTGAGGCCTTGGTGCCTGCTAGGTGCTGCTGGTTAGCAGCTCATCATGGACGGTGGGCACAGGTGGATACACCCTGCCTCAGCCTTCAATGGCAAAAGTGGCAAAGGCAAGGAAAATGGAGGAAACTGGGGTTGGGGACAGGCGATTGCTCTGTAAACACTGCAGTGAAGGAGGTCAAAGGCATTGCTGTGGAGACTGTCTCAGACCATGTCCCAAATAGTCAGTGTCCAGTCCCCAGCTCCAAACATCATTTTACACCATTTTTTTTCTTTTTCTTCTCCTTTTTTTTTGGCAGGGTCTCACATAGTGTAGTCCAGGCTGGCCTCAAACTCACAGCAATCCTCCTGCCTCACTCTCCCATAGTCCTAGAATTACAGGCATGCACCACCACACCCGGCGATTTCTGTTTATATCTGTATTGCTTCCTTCTTTCTGCTTTCTTTCAGTAAGCTTTGCTTTTTTTTTTTCTAGCTTTTTGGTTGATTATTTATTGATTGATTTCTGGTGGTACTAGGAGTTGAACCTAGGACCTTCACACTGAATTACATCCCTAGCCCTTTCTATTTTTTATTTTTTTGTTTTTGAGATAAGGTCTCACTAAGTTGTCCAGAGTAGGCTGAAACTTATGATCCTCCTGCCTCAGCTTTCCAGAGCATGGAATTACAGACACATACCATGATGTTTCACTTGTAATACATTTGCTACTGACAACTGCCTCTGCAGTATCTCACAGACGCAAATAGTTTATGCTGTTATTATTACTATTTCATTCTGCCATTTTGGTTTGTATTGCCCTTTTGACTCAGGCGTTACTTGAGGGTTTTGAAAAATTCTGGGTGGAAGGGTCTGTTTGCTTTTAATTATGTTGTTGATTTATAATCTTATTGCACTGTGATCAGAGAATGTTTATTTATAAAGTGATTGAGGTTTTCTTAATATTACCATTAGTTTTCACAAATGTTTCTTTTGATTACCCAGTGGTCAGTGCTCTGAGCCACTAGGTCTCAGAACCTGTCCTCCATATTTCCCTCTCTGGAGAGAATTTCCTCCTTCCAGGGACAGTCTGAGCTGCTGCCACTGTGTTTGGCCACCTCTAGGACCCAGCTGCTCTTCTCCCACCATCCCCGACTTTGTTTGCCTTTTGCTTTAGAGCTGGCTCTGTGGGTTCCAGATAGTTATCTCCCCATTTACATGTAAATTGAGCTTGGGGGTATTCTCTATCTCTGTGATTTTGTAGGTGAGGGCTGGAGTGGTTTAATTTGCTTTCACTGTTGATCTGTATGGGTTTTGAAGGATTGTGAAAGGATTTAGGCATCTTCCATTGTTCTCCAGGAGTCTGGGAGCTTTGTGTTTTCTTACTATCATATCTTTTCTTTGCTGCTTTTTCTTCATTCCTACTTTTCACTAGTTCAGTTAAATGTTCTTTTTTGCCATTTCCTTCCCATGGACATTGAAGTCACAGTCCTATTTTTATCCTCTTAGTGGTTACCCTTCTACCATGCACATGTGGCTGAGCAAGGTCTAAAGTTAATCAATGGCACTACATTCCTTCAGACAATATAAAGACCCGAGAGTGCCTTAACTCCTATCATCTCCCTCGAATACCAAACACCATTATTCACTCACCAAACAATCCTGAGCACTTACCGTGTACCATGTTGATACAGTAGTGAACAAAAGAGAAAAGAGGGAATTCTTGTTCTAATGATTTACATTTTAGCTGGAGAGAAAAGATGCAAAATTTTAAAATGTCATGCCAGACACAACAGTGCACATCTGTAACCCCAACCATTTGGGAAACTAAGGCAGGAGGTTCCAACCTCTAGACCAGCTTTGGCAAGTTTGCAAAAACCTTGTCTCAAAAAAAAATCAAAAGAGGGGCCGGGGATATAGCTCAGTGGCGCAAGTGCCTGAGTTTGATTTCCAGTACCAAAAAAAAAAAGGGCTGGGAATGTAGTTCAGTGTGAATACTCTGTGTTCAGTCCCCAGTTTAAAAAACAAACAAAAAAAGTAGTAGCATAGTGAAAAGTACTAAGGAGAAAAATATATAAAATAAAACAAAGCAAAAATAAAGCTGGGTAAGGGGATATGAAATTAGGAATGGGGAATGAAAAGCCTCACTAGAAAGGCTAATTTGGAATTAATATCTGAGGGAAGTGAGAGAACTTGTTATGCAGATACCTTGAGGAAGAATAGTCTAGGCAAAGAGAACACCAAGGGTAAATGCCTAAAGGACTTGGGGACATGTTTGACAAGGTAGACTCTGAGGCTACAGTGAAGGCAATTAGGGGAAGCATGACAGGATGTGAGGTCACCAGGCTAGCAAGGAGACCAAAGTAGAACCGTGTAGTCCCTAATTAATGAAAGTACTGGCTTTGCCAGGTATGGTGGTGCAGGCCTGTAATTCCAGCATTTGGGAGGCTGGGGCAGGAGGATCGCTGTGAGTTTGAGGCCTGGTCTACACAATGAGTTCAAGGCCAGCCTGAACAACATAGCAAGACTCTGTCTCAAACAAACAAAAGTTTTGGCTTTTCTTTTTTACAGTACAAGGGATTGAACCCAGGGACTCATGCATGCTGTGCAAGCTTTCTCTCCCTGAACTACACCCCTGCCCCGTCAGTTTGGTTTTTCTTCTAAGATGGGACCTCACTGAAGGATGCTGAATTACATGGTCTGGCAAATGTGATGTCAGGACCTCCCAAGTTATTGTATTAAGAACAGGTTAGCTGGGTGTGGTGGTAGGCACCTATAATTCCAGCATTCGGGAGGCTGAGGCAGGAGGATCACTGCTAGTTTGAGCTACATAGTCAGTTCAAGACTGAGCTACATAGTCAGTTCAAGACTGACCTGAACTACATAGTGAGACCCTGTCTTGAAACAACAAACCCCCCAAACAACGAGAAAACAAGTTGCTGAGTGACACTGGTGGCTCAAGACAGCCCAGTGGGCTGTGCTGAGAAGGCCTTGAATTTTGACCACATTTAGAAAGTAAGGCTGAAAGATCAGTGTAGTGAGAAGGCCTTGAATTTTGACCACATCTGAAAAGTTTGCTGACAGATCAGTGTAGTGTGAAGAAAAATGGCAACTGGAACAATGGAGTTGCCATTAACTTCCTGTTAACTGGAATGATCACCGGGCACAGTAGGTAAATTCTGCAAACTCTCCCAGTGAGCCTCACCTGTGTATAATCCCTTCCTCCCCTTTGAGGGTGGGTCTCACTCCTGTGGTTCTGCTGAGAAAAGCAAAGGGAGGTCACCTGGGTAGCTATAGTGAAACAGGAGCCCCTAGGAGCACAGATGTTTCACCCTGGTAGACAAGTGGAAGATGGAGAGACTCTAAGCACTCGTGCTGCTTTGAAGAGGAGGGGCCGTGAGAAGGCCTCCAAGCAGCTCTAGAACACACCACAGCCCCCAGACTCCTGCCTGCAACCAGCATGGAGCCAGGATCTCAGGTCTACAGCCAGAGAGAAGTGGATTCTGCCAACCCAGATTAATTTAGAAGCAGCTTCTCTCCCACCACCTCCAGACAAGAGCCCAGCCCAGTGAACGCCTTGATTTTAACCTTGTGGGATCCTGAGCAAGGAACCCAGCCAACCCACACTTCTGACCTGCTGAACTCTACAGTGATAACTGGGGTTGTTTTATTGTGTTGTTTGTTTGTTTGTTTTCCGGTACCAGGAATCGAACTCACGACCTCGCACTTGCCAGGCAGGCGCTGTGCCGCTGAGCTAAATCCCCAGCCCCTGTTTGTTTGTTTGAGACAGGGTCTCACTATGTAGTCTAGGCTGGCCTTGAACTCACTATGTAGCCTCACCTGGTCTTGAGCTCATGGTGATCCTCTTGCCTAAACCCCCCAAGTGCTAGGATTACAGGTGTGCACTACCATGTGCGGCTTAAGAATTGCACAGTCTCTCTTATATGAGAAACCCAAAGCATAAATAAAGAGCAAAGTAAAAGACAAGTAATAAAAAGGTTATGTTGCCATTACAGTGACAGGGAAGGGGGCTCCCAGTCATCCTGAACATGCCTGTATTCCCAGACAACCTTAGTACCCTCGCTGGTGTCTGCATGCGGACCAGAAGCTGTGGGAATCGAAGGGAGGCCAGAGTGCTGGATGACACCATTGTGCAGGGCAGACAATGGTACGTGTACCAGATTAATTTATCCTTTGAAGATGAGCACACCACAGCCCCGTGTACAATCCAAAATTCTAATGGCAAGGCTCGGCGGTCAGATAGTTAAAATCACAGCCTACATCCTGGAAGGTTGAGGAAAAAGCCTTGCTGTCCCACCTCAGCATAACCAGGACTGAGCTAGCGCCCTCTGGTGGAGCAGGGCGGCACTGAGCCAGGCCTATCAGAACCCTTTCTTCTCCCCACCTCCCGGCTTTCTGAGCCTCCTTGTTCCTGCTCTGGTCCTCCGCCAGAATGATCTTCCCTTTTCCCTCAGACTCACAGGCAAAGAACTCAGTGTGGTCCTATGGCTCTTGGTAGTCCCTCTTCCCCTCACCCATCTACCTTTCTGTCCCCGGATCCTAAGCATAAACCCCTTCCTCTCTCATCTGTCCCCTCTGCTCAGCTGTTTGCTTGTGCTTTCTGGCCTTATTACTCTAAATTGTAACAACTCTCCACCGAGCACTCTAGCTCCTCAACCGACTTTGCTCTGTGCTGTGGCAACACCTGACATGTTGTATCTGTTTACTTGCTACACACTGTCATCCTTGGGGATCCAGGTATCCATGGGGGATGGGTTCCAGGACACCTAAACCTGCTCAGCTCCTTATATAAAGAGTGTCGTAGTTGCATATCACAGACATTTTCCTGTATGCTTAAATACCATAATACAATGTTAATGCTATGTAAGTAGATATAGTATATTGTTTAGGCAATAATGACCAAAAAATTCAGCCCAGATGCAATTTTTTTCTGAATACTTGGATATGGAACATATATCCTACTTCTTACTAGAGTGTAAGATATCAACATAGATATATAGAAGTGTGTGTGTAGATAGCAAAACATAGACTGTATATATTTGCTTATTACCTGTCTCCCCCTATTAGAATGTAAACTTTAAAAAAAAAAAAAAAAAGGCTGGGAGTGCTGGCAGATGCCCATAATCCCAGCATTTAGGACAGCCCATTCATTTGGGACCCCTCCTGTCTCTCAGGAGCTATTCTTATTCCCCATTCCCCATTCCTATTCTCCAATAAATTTTCCTACTTAACCTCAAAAAAAAAAAAAAAAAAAATCCCAGCATTCAGGAGTACAGCTGGGAGTTTGAGGCCAGCCTGGGCAGCATAGTGATTTCAAGGCCAGCCTGAACTACACATAGTGAGATCCACCTCAAAATATAAATAAATAATTTTTACAAAGCAAGAACATGTTTTGTTTACAGTTGTATCTCCAGTATCTAAAACAGTGCCTGTCATATAGTATGTGTTCAAAAATATATCTTAGGGGCTGAGGATATAGCTCAGTGGCACACCACCCACCTGGCAAATGCAGGGCCCTGAGTTCAATTCCTAGTACCAAAAAAATAAAAAAATAAAAAAAAACATGAATGATGAATAGGCATTGTATGGCTTTTATTGTTTTGTTCTTGGATATCCAGACTTAATGTCCACAAATTTTTTTTTTTTTTTTGGTTTTTTTGGTTTTTCTCCGGTACAGGGAACTGAACTCACGACCTTGCGCTTGCCAGGCAGGTGCTTTTGCCGCTGAGCTAAATCCCCAGCCCTGTCCACAAATTTATATAAAATTAATAAAATTCCAATTATAATCACAACAGACAACAGATTACTTTTAAATTTGGTTAAATTATCTTAAAATTCATTTGGAAGGAATAAAGTACCTGCAAATAGCTTATGTTTAGGGAGTACATTAAGTACCAAATATCAGAAGCTATATAAAGCCACCATAATTATATCAATATAAAGTTGGCTTAAGAGTACATAAATTGGGGACCAGTGATATAGCTCAGCAGCACAGAGCCTGCCTGGCAAGCAGAAGGCCCTGAGTTCAATTCCCAGTTCCAAAAAAAAAAGAATACATAAATAGCCAAAGATTTAGCTCAGTGGCACAGCACCTGCCTGGCAAGGATGAAGTCCTGAGTTTGATTCCCCAAAAAAGAATATGTAAATAAACAAATGGGACAGAATAGGAAATCCAGAATAGGTATTTATAAGAGTATAGCACATGTTAGGCGTGGTGGCACATGCTCGTAATTCCAGCAGCTCAAGAGGCTGAGGCAGGAAGATCATAAGTTCAAAAACAGCCTAGGCAACTTAGCAAAACCCTGTCTCAAAATAAAAAATAAAGGCTAGCTCAGTGGGAAGACCCTGGGTTTAATCCCCAGTACCACAAAGCAAACAAAAGAATATAACATATGAACAATGAAACTTTAATTCAGCAAAAAAAGAGTGATTGTATAATAAATTCTGCTGGCATTATCTGCCAGGAAAATAATTAGATCCCGCTCATACCATACACAAAAATTAGCTCAAAGTACATTAAATTCTAAAGCACAGCTGGTATTTTTAGAACCCCAGCTTAAGTTCAGAGCATTGTTAATCTGATCCTCATGCCTGTGTGAAGGCGTATAACTGATTTCGTCATAGCTGCAATTTGGAGTGCACACTCTTAATGCATTGACTTTAAAAACTCCCATTTCATGACTTCCCAGGCAGAATAAGGACGAAAACCATGGTGGTCATCAAGAGTAGCGCACTGGAAAAAAAAAGAGTAGGGCACTGAATAATTCCTGGTACCGCCAAAAAAAAAAGAGGAGGAAGAAGGAGAAGGAGGAGGGGGAAGGGAAGGGGAAGATGTTAGAGCCCAGGCTTGAAGAGGGCTCTGCAGGAATGTGGGGGTGATGGTGGCAGCCACCCAGCTGGGAACATCACAGTTAAAGGAGAGAAGAGAGGAGAGGGTTCATGAAAGAGCAAAACAAAAGATAGATGAAATAATGTTATAGCTAATGGGAGCCCAGTTTCTCTCTATTAAAAATGAAAGGACAAATAACAAATATAGTAATGTAGAAAGTAAAATTAATTCTGTGGTGTTGGCTTGGAATAGAAGGTATTGGGGTGAATTCATGATTTTCATTTTATATAAATGGATAAAATACATGTATACATGTATATTTCATAGATCTGTCCTCTGAGAGGCACTGGAACAGTTAACATTTTGAAACAAGCAGCCCTCCCCATCACTCAGATCTTAGATTCTGATTGCTAAAATGGCTGGAAGACACAATCTTAAGTAAATCAAGTAACAAAGTTAACATCACTAGTAATGCAGCAGATTGAAATTATGCACCATCTGACAGGATGCAACAGGGAGAAGAGAATCACTTCTGTGCTATTTTTGTCACAGGTGCATAACTTGATTCTGGATATAAGGTTACATCAGACATACCCAGATCAAGGGACCGTCTACAAAATCACTGGCCTGTTATCTTCAAAAGTGTCATGAAGGTGAAGGAAAGACTAAGGAACTATTCCAGACTAAAGAAGACTAAAGAGGGATGAAAAGCGGAAGGAATGTGTGATCCCAGGCTGGATTCTTTTTCAAGGGCATTCTTGGGACAATTGGCAAAGCTTGAATGGGGTCTATTGGTGAGACTGTAGTAAAGTATCATTGTCAATGCTCCGGTTTTGATGGTCATATTGTGCTCATGTAAGAGAATACTGCTGCTTGTAGGAAATAAACATCAAAGTATCCTCATGGGTGATGGCATATTGTTGGCAACATACTCTTTTCTTTCTTTCTTTCTTTCTTTCTTTCTTTCTTTCTTTCTTTCTTTCTTTCTTTCTTCAGGGCTAAGGATTGAACCCTGAACTTCAGAGCATGCTAGGCAAGTGCTCTGCTATTGAGCTATATCCCCGCCCCCATACTCTTAAATGTCTCAAGGCAAAGAAAAATGTTTTGTGCTAGTACTGCAATTTTTCTGAAAGTATAAAATTATTTCAAAATGAAAGGGAGAAATGTCTTAACAATCAACCTAATGGGAGGAAAATGCACAACAAATTGACATAGGTACAATTGGAATATAGTTATGTGTGCCTATACATATTTCAATACAAAATAATTGTCAGCTCTCGGGGGAATGATATGATACATTTCTAGAAAGAAAGGAGCTGGGCGTGGTGGCACATGCCTGTAATCCCAGCACTCGGGAGGCTGAGGCAGAGGATTGCTGTGAATTCAAGTCCAGGCTGGGCTGCAAAGTGAATTTAAGGCCAGCCTGGACTGCATAGTGAGACCCTGTCTCAAAAAGACAAAAAAAAAAAGGAGCGTTGGACATGGAAAGCAAAACTGTGATCATCCATACCAGTAATCTATATCACCCATTCTAGTGTAATTCTACACACCTGTGGCAGAGAGTCAGTTTGTAAAGGCTTGAGGACACAAGGGGGCTCCTGAGCACCACTCTGGTTATGTTGATTCAATGCATATTCTGTAGCCAAGAGGATGGCACCTCCATTTTTGCATTTCTGCAGAATGACACACCTAGCTTTGGGGGTTCAGCTTCAGTTGTGCCTTTTGAAGGCTGCCCGCACTAAATCAGGGAGCATCTTCTGGATGGCATAGCATAGAATATGACCTGTCAACACCACAGTCATGGGTCTCTGGTCTGCTATAGCTATGTAAGATCTATGCCAGTGGTCAAACACCCCACCACCCCTTGGATAGTGTTGTTACCTGAGACCATGTGGGTGGAAAAGGCAGAACATGTGTCTATTCCTTTTTTATGGGGGGAGGTTTCCCGTACCGGAAATCGAACTCACGACCTTGCGCTTGCCAGGCAGGCGCTGTGCTGCTGAGCTAAATCCCCAGCCCCCATGTGTCTATTCCTGTGAAGAGGAACTTCTGCACCTTCCAGAATGCAAAGAGTCCTCTGTGGTCAAACTGATCTCCAGATCCAGAGCTGTGCATTTGTCTTGGTTCCTGTGGGGCTGGACATTTGGCCAAAGCAGTGGTAGTTACATCAGCTTCAGGGTAGGAGTCCATGCTGTTGGTCCCATGGATGGTTTCCATCTCCATCACTGTGGCCACTTTATTCATGTGCTCTTAGTAGTGCTAGGTGGCTGATGACAAGAGCTGGCTTTGGTCAATTGACTGAGTTATTTTGTGTTCTTAGTTATTCAAAGCCTTCTAGTGGATGCTCTCTGGTGGGCAGTAGCACGTGATACAAAGACCATCACACATCAGACTCACTCCCATATATCCATCCACACAGCTCTACCTCAGACCTCTTTGTCTCTGATCTTCTAATATTTTCCTTTCAGAACCCAGACCAGTCAACCAAACATTTGCCACTGTCCGTGAGTCTATTATGCAGTCATCCCTTGTATCCCTGGGGAACTGGCTCCAGGACCAAGGAGCCAAGAGACACCAAAAACAACTGGTACTGAAGTCTCTTATGTAAAATGGTGTATTTGAATATAACCTGCATGTGTGTTCCCATATGCTTTAAATCATCTCTACATGACTTAGAATACCTAATGCACTATAAATGCTATATAAATAGTTATGCTACTATATTTAGGAAATAATGATAAGAAAGAAAATCTGTATGTGTTCAACACAGATACATTCTTTTCTGAATATTTTCGATTTGTGTTTGGTTAAATCCACTGATGTGGAATCCATTTCGATTTGTGTTTGGTTAAATCCACTGATGTGATATGGTCAACTGGCTGGATTCTAATTTAGGGCTACTTCTGTTTCTGTACAGAGTGGATCACTTAGTTCCTAACCCAAGTGCTGCTTTTGGGAGTATTCCCTCTTACCATTGTCTTTCAAGGTCATTGTTAAGTGCTGCTACCCATTAACCATTAGTTGTTTATACTGATACACTAAACTGATCTATCTGAAATCAAGTATAGGCTTTTGTCTCCTTCACCTGGTCATGTTGGATTCCCTAGGTGGTGAGATGTATGACTGGAGGAGAGCCCCTGGTTCTATGGTGTGGGAATTGTGGGATTCTAGGCTCTGTGCTTGCCTCTTCTGGTCCTACTTATGACTGGTACTACACCTATCTCTTCAATATTGTGGATTATTGCTAGATACTCCTGACCTTATAAATCAGTGGTTTTAAGAGGACCAAAAGCATGATGGGAATATCCAGCTGTATAGTCACTTGGTGTCTCCTGGTCAGCCATTCTTTTCCTACCAAGGCCCAGTAGCATGCCAGAGTTTTGTTTTTTTTTTTTAACCAGAAATCGAACTCAGGACCTTGTACTTGCCAGGCAGGCACTTGTGTCACTGAGCTATATCCCTGGCCCAGAGTTGTTTTTCAGAGTGTTTAATTCTCAACTACAAAAAAATAATCTTGCTGCAGAGCCTGAGGACCCTCCCAGAGCTTGACGAAATTATCAAAATGCCTTCTCCCACCCCTGATCATCTCCAGCACTATAAGTTCTTCCAAATTGTACAGCTCCAGCAGTAGGGACCTGTGTCTTTGCACTGCAGCCTGTATCTCCTGCAAATCTCTGTCATGTGCTGTCATGCAAAACTCACCTTTCATGATACCTGGTATGTAACCTGAGCAGTGCTTTGCTCCAGAACCTGAAGAGCCCCACCAGGTGTTGTTCTTTTTATGGGGGTGCAGGGTAGGAAATATAATACATAGTGATTGTTTTACTTTGGCAAGATATCCCAACATGCCCATGATGATTTGTCTAAAAATGTTGTGGATATCTAAGGCTCTGGAACCTTCACAGAGCTCCCTCTATAGAGTGTATGCATCTTGTAAAGGCCTCCAATGTACTATCCAACTCATCTGGCTCATTGACATAATGTCATCAATGCAGTGGATCAGTGTGATAATCTACATTCTTTCCATGTAGTCCAAATCATATTAGACTAAATTATGACAGGGCAGGAGGCATAACCCTGGGAGAAAACTGTAAGTGTGTATCGTTGTCCATTCCAGGTAAATGCAAACATTCTCTATTTTCTCCGCCTGATTGGGATAGAAAAGAACACATTTGCCACATCAGTGGTTGCATTCTTAAGGCTGGAGTAGCCAGCTCTAGCAGGGATACCACATATGGCATAGCAGCTGCAATCAGGGCTGCAGTACGTGGGTGAACTTATGGCAGTCAATAGTCACCCTGCAGGAGTGAGTCATCTGGTTTCTGCTAGGTCAAGAATACAGACAGAAGATGAATCCAGCAAGGTCAAGAGTGGTGAGTGAAACAGTACTATGATAGAAACCACTATTCCGGGATCCTTCCTAGCCTTAAAGATGGAACCAATTAATTTCTATTACTCCTGCCCCTAGCGCCTTCCTATGTTGACCCCTACCTCCAGGTGCAAACCAATTCCAGTGACACGCTGGGGGACTGGGAAATGAGCACCGATTGGGCCAAAGGACCCAGGGGACACTGTAAGCCAGGCCCAAGACAAAATACCACTTATTACCTGGTCCCCAGGTGGCTCCCCAGCTCCCATGCGGAGGGGCCAGAGTGATGCTTCCGGTCTCCACCACTGATGTCAACAGACCCTGCATCCAAGCCCTTGATATGTTTAGGTATCTAGCACACAGTTACCCAGGCAAATATCCCATAGGTCTCTTTGAGAAACAAATGAGAGAATCATTACATATTCTTGCCTTGGTATCGTGGATCTTTCTTCTAAGGCTCCAGCTACCTCTTTAGCCCTGGGATTTCAAGCCTGAAAACAGGCTCATGTCTGGATGCTAGGAGCTTCCAGAAGTTATGCACTGGCACCTGGCCTTTCTTGTTTCCAGGTCCAATTATCCCTGTTGCTGTCAGTGAACCAAGTTCTGTAAGCAGTTGTAGCCCACAGAGGAGAGCCAACACTTGACTTTTTTGATCATCACAACTCATTGTGTCTTTGGGACGTTCCCATAAAACATAATTATCTGCTAATTCTGTGACCACGGTCTTCCTTCTACAACCATAAATTCATTTATCTGCTTTTTTAGGTTAACTTTTAACTGTGTTCAAATATATGCACCATAAAATGTGCCATCTAATCCTTTACTTTTTTTGTTTGTTTGTTTGTTTTAACAGTACCAAGGATAGAACCCCGGCCATTGCAAACGTTAGGCAAGCACCTTACAATTGAGTTACACCCTTAGTCTTTTTTTTTTTTTCTGCCTTTTTGAAACAGGGTCTCGCTATGAAGTTGAAGCTGGCCTTGAGCTCACTTTGTAGCCCAGGCTGGTCTCGAACTTGCAACGATCCTCCTGCCTCAGCCTCCCGAGTGCTGGGATTACAGG